TTCAGCAGGGTTAAGCTCCATCTCCTCTAGCCTCTCCCTTGAGCTCTGGGCATCACAGCCTCCTGCAGCATCACTGTTTGCTCCTTGTGCTTGTTTCTCAGCCTCTGCCAGAGCTTTTAGGATGGTGAAGTTTGCCTGGACAGAGCTGAGACATGCTTCAGTCCCCTGGAACATTATCGTTCCATTATGGTAGATATTCACAGTTAGAAATGCCTTGTTAGTGTCATTTTCTTCATAACTTTGGATTTTTCTGCCATTACAGATGCCTAGTTTTCTATAACTTTTGTAGTGTTTACAGATGACCGTGTGCCAAAGATTGCAGTCTGTTGTGTAGAGGAGCAGATTAGTGATGATGGCTCTGTCCCCTTTTTGTGAAACGTCTGCCATCAGGGTCTCTGGGTTGTTCTTCAGCAGGCTGTATTTATAGGTTTTCTTGTCTTTTGCGCTCTTGATAGTCTGTGGGTATGTGATGGAGTGGGGGAGGAGCTCTCCTGCAATGGCTTCCATCGTTGTTTTTTTTCTGTAACTGTCACTTTTTAACTGTCACTCTCAGACTGCTACTAGTTTTCTCTACTTTACTATATTTCAACTGAACTAAAATAACTTTAGTCCTGCCTCACTAATTTGTAATAGTCTTTTAAAATGCAGTGTAGATGGAGATTCAGTCTTGCCTGTTATTTGGATGTGAACTGATTCCTGATTCCAGTATCTTCTGCTTTATCCAGTTTTCCTCCTGATTGCTCTGTTTCAGTGCTCTTTAGTTGCCTTGTTGAAGAAGCAGCAATGAAATTCACAGCTATCACGGTCACCTTAATATTCCTCTCACTTTTTTCTTTGGTTTAGGCCTGTTTCACTCTAGAGATCAAAGATTGCAAAAAACTTAGGAGCTCAAGTGGATCATGACTTTTTCTCTCTCTCTCTCTCTCTCTCTCTCCCTCTCTTCATATTATTCATGTTATTAAAAAACTCTTCATGTTTTGTTTTGTTAAAAGAAAACATTACCAGTTACCTCTAAACATATATAACCAAATATACCTCAAATACATGCTTGAATATTTTTGATACACACATTTCGCAGCAAAAACACATACTGTATGCATTCCAACACAGACACAAAAAGTTTGGAAATGCTTCAGTTACTTGCTTAAAGGGATACTCCACCCCAAAATGAAAATGTTGTCATTAATCACTTACCCCCATGTGGCTCCAAACCCGTAAAAGCTTCGTTCGTCTTCGGAACACAATTTAAGATATATTGGATGAAAACTGGGAGGCTTGTGACTGTCCTATTGACTGCCAAGTAAATAACACTGTCAAGGTCCAGAAAAGTATGAAAGACATCGTCAGAATAGTCCATCTGCCATCAGTGGTTCAACCGTAACGTTATGAAGCGACGAGAATACTTTTTGTACGTGAAGAAAACAAAAATAACGACTTTATTCAACAATTCGTCTCCTCTGTGTCTCTCTGCATCACCGTAGCGCCATTTTGAAGAATGTCCACTGAACGCAAGCAGCGTACGCTCTCCTGTGTCAGCCGCGACACAAGGATACGTTTTCTACGTGTATTTACGCTCAACTATAGACCAATATCAAATCTTCCTTTTACAGGCAAGATTATTGAAGTTTAATATTAAGGTAGTTTTTAATCAGCTGAACAACTAAATTCAGCTGATTTAAATTCTGATTCTGGCAAAATATCAGTGCTGGTACTACTAGATCTCAGTGCTGCGTTTGACACTGTCGATCATAAGCTGAGCTGATCAGGACATTTTGCTGAGGACCCTGGATCTCATGTTACACATCCCATCTATATAAAAGGTAAGGGCTGTATTTGATTATGACAGCTGCGGATGGGAGGAATGTGTGATTATAAGATCTTTTGGCTCTCTATAAGCGAATTAATATAACATGGCGCCCAACGTGTGAGGCTCGATTAATGGAGTGGAAAATTCAAGGATAATAGAGAACGTATAATAACCCAGAAATTCCTTGCAGATCACGACCACAATAGTAGTCCAGAAGGACTGTTGTCTTTTTCGCGCGCGCAAGCTTAAGTAAAGACCTGAGAAATAAAGACGAAGGACTCAATGAATTCTCAGAGGAGAACGAGTCATGTTTGAGTGAAAAGCTAAATCAAGAGCGGATTCAAAAGTGAAAGTGAATTATAATGGGGCAAATGATGACGGTCAGCCTCATCGCTCAAGATCTAGCTGGAAGATTAGACTGGATTAATCCCACACAGTGTAGATGTGGTTCTGGTCAAATTCCGTGGCACGAAATAAGGATGATGGCTTCAGTGGTGAATTTCAGGATATGTGAGGGAGCGGAAATCCCACCCTTTATCTATTCGAGTAGAGGGGGAAGGGATGGATATCCCAAAGTTAGGGTGTTTGACGAATTCGGGTCAGAAATCAGAAATATACCCACCAGAAGTTGGGATGACCTCGAAGAAGTTGATATGGGGGAAGGATCCGAGCGCGGATCCTTAGCTCCCAATTTTATTCCCCGTAGAGAGGGGAATAGAAGCACCGTAGATCCAAGTGCTCCCCAGTGGGAAAATCCTGAAAGCCCAGATGAGGAGTTTTCATCAGAAGATGAAGAAACGCTTAGGATATATTTCGGCAGAGGCAGATATTTAATTATCCTTAAAGAAGGGCGCTTGGAAGTAGAGGAGGAAGCTAGCGTTTTAGTGAACGCGGCCAATACCGAACTCCAGCACGGAGCGGGTCTTAGAAAGCATAACTACGAGAGTAAATCAGGATCAGGATGCTGGGGAAGGGAGGTCGAACCAGGGAGCTGGTATTATATAGAGACCGACCAGTACCGAGGCCGGGGTGCCAGAGGGGGACCCAGATCCTGAATGGCCAGAACTGAGGCGAACGAGAACAGCTAGGGGGAGAAAAGACAGGGTAGAAAACCCGTTCCCCAGATTAAAACTGGGAAGGAGTTATGAGACTTTTCGATTAGGAAAAGGCTTCTATAAACCCACACATGCCGCGAGCAGGAAAAGAGAAACAGCTTTAGACAGGATAAATAAATGAGATGAGGAATATGCCCCAGGAATAACCTGTGGACAAGTTTGGTCCATTTTGAATGGAGGAGACGCAGTTCAGATTTTAGCAGACACCTCACTGACGCAGCGAGCTAAGAGGGCGATATTAGCTCAGAAGGATTTGACAAGCCAGGCCGCACTGGAAAAGATAATCAGAAGCGCGGTGGGTAATGATCTGTTCGAAGAATATTATTCAGACGTGGGACCAGAAAGTGACAGCGCAGAAAGTGACTCAGAGGAGAATCAGGAAGATTCAGATTATGAGCAGTTAGTGGTTGAAAGAACAGAAAGAAATGTGACACCTCTCCCTGTCAGACCGGCGCGAGCGCCGAGAAGGCTCCGTTTCAGAGACCGAACTCCGGAGCCAGACATTCAGCCAGAGAGGGAAATTCAACCAGAGAGGGAAATGAATCGACCAGTAGAGTATGATGCACTAAATCAGCATTTGGAGGCATTACATTTAGGGACACCAGGTCAGAGAAGGCCCATGACTCCTGTAAATCAAGTGCGTTCCCCTAGACAAACAGAGATTAATTCGATGGAATCCAGAGTTACTCTGGAA